TTTTGATGCGTGAGATGATAATAGAACAATTCCAGAATGCTGGATATAAATGAGAAAACAGCGGAATCGCCAGATCAGCTGATTTGAAAAATCGACTTTCTTTTGGAACTAGGAAAAAAAGCAGAACACCCGTTGTGCTATGTTCAATAACCTTACGACGTTGTCTTAAGGTTATTGGAGTTTTTGATATTACATGCATTGACTATATAAGGTCTTAATTTCATTCGAATCATCTCAGCAAAATGACTCCGGAAAATAAAAAACAATTCGGATGTTCCATTTAAAAAGACCAGTGGAAACATCATTACACATTATCAGCTTGTAACTAATGAAAATGATCTATCACTCAAACAAAAGAATGTTCACAACTATCAATTTTAGTTTTAAATAAAATAGGTACACACAGAATGAGACTTGGCCGGTGGGAGATCGGCACGCTGATGTGCAAAAAAGGGACAGATGAGCAAATTTATAACTTGACAGTTGTGTTTTAACATTTTTCGTCGCAAATTAGCCTTCATGTTCCCAAACGTTAAATTCAATCACTGAACTGATGAAAGTTTTGAAATACAGGGTGTAATATAAGTACGTGACGTATTCCTGAGACAATTTAAAAAAAACGCTTATATAAACTGCAGGGTGTTGAAATTGAAATTTTTGTTCGCTTTTTAAAAATAACTCTTACAAAAAATAAGTTATTGGCACGAACTTTGGTACCAGGGATTTTTTTGACGTGGGAAATCATAATTTCGTATTAATTTTTATGTAATACCTAGAGAGAGCTGCGTATTCATTTCAAATTGCCGTAACTTTATTGACAGTAAACTGTTGGTACTTTTCACAAGAAAATCTAATTCCAACACCTTTTCCAAGTAAAAAAGGTACACTTCCTCAATAAGATTGGAGGTGATCGTTTTCGAGATATTTACAATTTTCTGTATCGATGCATATCACTTAGCTCCTAGGGCGCTAAGTGAAGTTGCTGGAGATATTACAAAAACAATTTTTTTCTTTAAAAAGTTTATCGAAAAATCATTCGTTTTCGAGATACAAATAACTAAAATTGCACAAACCAACCATGTTTTGAAAAATTTCAACAATTTGTATCTCGAAAAAGAATGATTTTTTTAATAACATTTTATAGGAAAAAGTTGTTTATTTTGGCGAGATTAATATGCGTCGATATAGAAAACTGTAATTATCTCGAAAACGATCACCTCCAGCGTTGTTGAGAGAGTATACCTTTTTTACTTGGAAATGGTGTGGGAATTAGGTTTTCTCATGAAAAGTACCAAAAGTTTACTGCCAAAAAAGTTAGGACAATTTGAAATAAATAATGACAGCGTACGCAGCGCCCTCTAGATGCTTCATGAAAATTATAAAGAAATTATGATTTCCCACGTCAAAAAACCCCGGGTACTAAATTTCATGCAAATAAAACTTATTTTTTGCAAAAGTAATTTTAAAAAAACGAATAAAAAAATTCAATTTCATTATATACAGACTTTTTTCAAAAATTGTCCCAGGAAGAGGTTCCTTGAAAATTTCAACGTACTTATATTACACCGTGTATATTGTTTCTAACGGAAAACAAGAAAAAAAGCATCCACTTAGAAAGCGTGAAAATGTGGCGAAGAAATTGACATTTACCAAAAGTTAGCCCCTCAACAAAATAAGAGCAGTTTAAAACTCAAATAGTTTTATGTTATACAAATTCGTTACATCTTTGTAGATATGTGACCGAATTGTCCGATGCTTTATGAAAATCCCTACCGTATTCAGATAATACTTATTGTTAAATTTTCTCTGAACATTTACCAAAATCGGTGTGTGTTACTTGAATCCGTTATGGATTTTTGTCAAGTATTGGCCAATTTCAACAGATAGCCAGGCCGCATTGAAGAACCAAAAAATGACATCGAAACTAGCCTGGAAATATCATAGAGAACTGTGGAAAAACTGTGAAAGAACGGGAATAACAGGAACGAAAAATCTAATGAATATGACAGAAGAACATCATCAACTCCATATTATGAACTAGCTGTAGGGGTGATACTAAAATTATTGGAATGCAGACATGTGTTTTGCAAGGCCGTGACTGCATACAGGCTGATTCACGGTGGATGGCACATTAGACGTTTCTGGTGAACCAGACAACGGATCACTTTGAAAATTTAATGGAGGGCATATTCGGACATTCTCTAGCCAACTAAAATATTTTCGACAATGCGGTGTTGCCGCTTCTATTAGAAAGCAGTAGCAACTTTGATTTTTCAAATGGAACACTCTGTATATAATATTATTTTTGGA